CCAAATAATGTTCACATTCAGACCCCATCACGTTCTTGCTTAATCTATTCCTAGGTAAAAGTTACCACTTACTGCTATAATTTTATTTTTAAAAACTTTCTAATCCAGACCTTAACATATAAATTAAAATTTTTTTTTTTGAACATGCCATATAAATTAAAATTTTATTTATCATATTTCTTTATTATTAATATATATATATAAAAATATAAAAATAACCTTTAATTTTATTAATTGTTTGATTAAATAATTGTTTTATGCAATATTAGTATTAAAAATAAAATTAATTTTTACACATTTTTATATAAATTAATAACTAAAAAATATAATATATATTTTTTATTTTTATTGTACAGTGATAGATAATTATTTTTTATTTTTTATTTCACTCCATCCGTATGTTATGCTATTCGATTTTAGAATCTTTTACTTTCGAGAGAAAGAGATGATCATTAAATTATTTCAATTGTTGATATAATAAATATAATTTTAAACTCTATTCTTTAATGTATAAATTAGATTAATCCTTATTTTAATTGAACACAAAATAAATCGACTAATGGTCGGTTCCAAGGTTGGGTCCACGAGCAGATTAGGTTTGAACTTCGAACATGGTAGTCACGAATCCCAATTAAATCCATACTTCGAGATCAGTTCTTGGGGGCTCCTGAACCCATTACCCTCCCTGCTCATCACATCTAATCGTGATTTGCATGGCACATGCTGGCTGAAATCTTGAAGGTCCCAAAAAAATTGAAAGTTTAGCAAAAGTTCAGATGGGTGGGTCAGCCTTAAAAAGGTGCCTCGGGCCAGACACCACCCAATGGCAAGAGGCCCTTCTCCACCATAAAAAATTGGTGATTTTAATGGGATACCAAAATGGGCTTTACCAGACCAGCACCTGCTATGTGCCTGTGGGTAATGGGCTATTTGTCCTAAACCCAAATGGGGGGAGAACAACGCGAGGCCCAAACAGGAAAAAGCTCAGTCCAACCTTCATGTCCTTCTTCTTCTTTTTTTTTTTTTTCTGTTTTTTTGAAGTTTGGATAAAAATTAGGAATAGAGAGAAAGGCGGGAATAATTACGTTGTTTTAATAGAACATAGGAGTAGCAATGATTTATTGATTTGAATAAAAGAAATTTAATTGTTTTAAAATAAAATTTTAAATTTAAATCTTATAAATAGAAAAATAAGTATTAGAAGAACTTTTTTTAATAGAGTTCGACACGACTTAATTTTAAATTAATTGAGATTTAATATAACTTTTGATTATTAAAAAATTTAATACAAAAAAGAAAAAAATATGTAACACAAAAAAATATTTTATTTTAGATGTACAAGAATAAGTATTCATATATCCTTATTATGATGTGTAATCAGAATTGATATTATATATATATATATATATCAATCAAAAACAAAATAAAGATCACTCTAAATGATAACAATCTGAGATGAACATTTTATTAAGTTTTATAATTGGATCCATTCAGAGCCATCAATGAAGCTGAGATCAATAAAAGGTTTGGCTTCCTCATCTGTGAGTTCTCTTGACCATGACACCCGCCCTGCAAAGCTAGCTCCTGGTCCTGTGCACTTGTATTGCCCATAGAACACAGTCCTGCCAAAACAGAAAGGGCCAAACCACATATCAATACAAGTAACAAGGCCACAAACACATACATACAGTATTATTAAGTTCTGCATTGTGCGAACCTCTCCTTACCTGACCAAGAATTAGGTTAGGTCATAGGTGGCTTTTGTGCTGATGCCCAACATGGTTTTGCTTTTGACGTGCATTACACGTAGATTTTGCAGTGAAAAAATGGGGGACAGGGCAGCCCACTTGTGGGTAACTAGGTTATAAAATAGTAATATGCTATCTGCCCCTATTTTGTCACTGAACATGCCAAATATGCCCATGCCACTATAAGATAACGAGTCTTCAAAACTTCAAGGATCTATCTCATCTTCACTCATAAGAACTTTAAACTTTAAATTAAGACCTCAAATCAAACTGGAATCTTGAGAAGGCAGAGAAATTTTTATTGCATAATCCATCATTATATCCATTAAAAAAAGGTCATTCTAGGATGAACTAGGGGGTATTTTTGTCATTTCATTGAAGTGTTAATCATGGGGTCAGATAGAAGAAAGGGTAATGTTCTGTAGGGCCGCTGAGAAAAGGGTAAAGCTGAACAATGCCTAAAACTATCAAAGGCGTATTATGGTCTAACCATACCTACCACTTTTGCCTTCATCAGTCTGTATGGGATCAAATGCCTCACTGTATGTGTTTAGTGACCCTTATCTCAAATATGTGTTTCTTTTTGTCTGTCTATCTTAGGCAACGTTGCCCGCATGAAATTTGAAATTAAGTGTTGATAGATTTTATAACAAAAAAAAAAAAAAATCTCTATTTGTGTTATATTGTACAATTCGAAATTTAGGTAATCAAACAATTATATATATGATAAGAGCTTTAATCGACTAGATAATTGATTTTTTAGTTTAAATTTAGGTAATAATTTTGTTTGATTTAGTCATTTAAAAATAATTAATAATTTTTTTTTTTTAAACAGTTTTTACAAGGGCCTGGTCGAACCCAAGTTAGGGGTGAGGGAAGTGCACCTGAAGTGGTTATTGCCACTTGACCCGAAGGGCTCAGTGCAAAAAAAAAATAATAATAATAATAGTTGTTTGTCTTAATTCAACAAAAATTGATATTTGAGTTAGTTAATAGCAATTATTTACCATTAAATATACCTAATGTAAAACCTAACGGTTAACAAAACATATATGGCAATGACTTCCCTCTAATTGTACCAATTGCCCCTTTGAAGAAAATGTTGAGATGGGGGGAATGTAAAGAGAGAAGGAATGAGACTCACATTTCGCGGTTAGGGTCGCCCCAATTGTACCAACCCTTGGGAAGGATAATGTTGTCCATGTAAGTGTAAGCAAAGACTACCCTAGAGAAGGGACCCCATGCCCTTCCAAGGTAGAGGGCCCCCGAGCCCGTGACCTTACAGTTCACAAATGAGAAGCCCGTGTCTTGTAATATGCTGCTTCTTCCTTGTGCTGTCACAGCCCCTAAATTCTGTGCTATTGCATGCACGTGACATCCCTGCAAAAACAAAGCACCAAATATTCACAACATGCCCTTCAATTCAACACCTACCTACCGGATTATCCACTCAATTTTCATTTTGCCTTTTGTAGAATTCCATAGGATGTGAGTTTTTGAGTTTTTTACAATATTTTTACGCTTCCAATCAATAAGCGTAAATAGAGATGAACATGGTTCGATACGCATGTAAATTGAACTAGAATACCATTCAATTATACTAAAGAAAAGAAAGTAGTGGGCCTATATATGTAAAATAGGCATGCTTTCTACTTTAGCATTGTTGTTACACCAATTATTAGAGCATCTTTCTCATTTTCTCTTATTAAATTCTTCCCTTTTCCACTGAATGAAACAAGAGATCATTAGGATAGTGATGCCATTTCTTTAGCTACTACACATGACATTTAGTGATGTAACTTGTCTGATCTAGTTGATTGAAATTATGCCCATTTCAGCTAACTTCACCAAATCTTAGATGAAGGAAGACAAGGAATGGTTATTGGTAGGAACAGAATATGCCAATAGAAACAATTAAAGGATGAGAAATCTGACCTCAAAGAGGGACAGGGCATTGCCAAAGATGAAATCCACCGAACCTTCAATGTAACAATCCTTGTAATAATGCCGACCAACATGATCATACAGTGTGTCCTGTGCTCCCAAGAATCTACATCCCAAGAATGCAGCTGTATCCGCTGATATCCTAAATGCTACCGCTTGTTTTCCCACTGCTCCGGATGGTGGAACTGGTGTTGTATTCTACACGGAATTCAAATTTTCTTTCTAAGAAATACTGAGAGAAGAACAGCAAGAAGTAAAGGAGTTTAACTGTGCTAGTTTTCACTGACTATCAAAACCTTGATTTGAGGTCAAGGTTAGGCATTTAAACCACTTTAATAGCGTGGCTAATTTTCGAAATGTTCTAAAAAAAGGACAAAGAGGAAATTCAAGAGCTACATTACCTTGAATGTGATGTTTTTGGCTATGAAATAAGGGGCATTCACACCAAAAGTTGCAGAGCCATATGTCCCCAGAGGTTGTCCTCTTGGCCCAGGTGTTTGAGCTGTGTCCCCCCATTGAACTATTGTCTTATCTGCTCCTGCTCCTTCTATGGTTATAAAAGATTTCAACTGAGATATGCTAACCTTCTCCCTGCAAAATTTTCACATGCAAATACTTCATCAAATGCGTTCTGATAACAATGAAGATGAATTCTTGAATTCTTGAGTACTCACTTGTAGACCCCTGCATGGACCTTGATGAACACCCTCACTAGATTGATGAAAGGAAGAGAATCAATGGCATCTTGAATGCTGGTGAAGTCTCCGGCTGCGGGATTCTTGTCTACAGTAATGGTATAGGAAGGGAAGACCTTGTTCTTTGCTGACTTGAAGAAGGAATGTTTGAGACTCCCAACAAACTTGACCCATTTCATGAATTGCTTCTCTGAGAATTGGGCTCTGGTCATGTTTAATGTCTGATGCTTCCCAGCATAGTTCTTCCCCAACCTTAGCCCTTTGGTATGGCATATTGCCTGTCTTGAATTAAGAAGAAAAAGAAGTATAATACACAAAAAATGTACAAACTTTGACATCGAAGAAATGAATACAAAGGGAATGAATGTTGAATTTAAGGTGCCATTTGGGTTCTATATATGTGCAAGTGCAAGTTAGTCCATGGTTAGCAGATATTTTTAGGTAGAAAGTGAAGAATGAGAAACAGTGAAAGTGAGAAGTCACGGGTGCTTCCACTGAAAAAGATGCCAAGCAAACAAATTTAGGCCACCAAGACATGAAGGTTACCCTTTGTTTTGGATTTGTTTCTAAAGAGGCTTTAGCTGTTTCTGTTGTTGGTATTGGGAAGTGCCCGTGAATGCTCTCTAACTATTATTTTGGATTGAGCGGTTATAAATTAATCTCATTTGTTTATGAGACAACCTCTACTTTCGGTCTTAAATTTCATTTCTTAGTTTCATATGATGCGTTTGGGATTGATGTGAATTACTGT